TTTAATTTAACATGTACGACTATTATTGCCGATTATATACAACCAGTAACAAAAAATTACTCATTGCAAACCCATATAGAATTCTATAAAACATTAATCATTGCAAACTCATGTAGAATTCTATGAAACATTAATCATTGCAAACCCATGTAGAATTCTATGCAAAATAAACCATTGCAAACCCATGTAGAATTGTATAAAAAATTATCCATTGTGAACCCATGTAGAATCTTACTACAAAAGTAATGATATCAAAAAAAAATTGCGCCAAGTAAAAGTAGAAACTTAAAATTAAATTGCAATCATGTATAGTGTTACGTCCTGCGGTCTCCATGATTCTTTTCTTTCGGAGAACGTAAAGCAATATTCAAATATCGCAGACCCGCAGATAAGCCACGATGTGACAGGCGAGGCAAAACAATCTTTGTGCCTAAGAAAATATAAAACTATAACCCACTGTTCTCTTCAACGAACCACTCGAGAACTAATAAAATTTTCAAAGAGTAACTCTAAACAATCCTCGCCCGACAGATCAGCGATATCTGTTTAAGTCACAAGCTATAAACATATCAACCTTCCTTGATAAGAACAAATTCTCTATTGGTCGAAACCTAAGGCTCTAAATAAAAGCCTTAACCAAAGCCAATTGTATTAATTTTCAAAAGTCAAAGAGACGCCTCCGGACCTAAAGGGCGTCATTGAAAATCCTCCTATTTGTTGGGAAATATTAACAAACCAATGGAGAAGGAGGAGTTAACATCGCTCTCAATAAATAGTAAGTCCCTTCAATAATTACTCGTTACTTCCCAAATAATTCTTAGACCTCAAATTGAGATACTTATAAATGTGTTTCCTTTTCTTTTCTGATTTTAATAAGTCAGCATCTCCCTTTATCTCTTTTACTTCCTTCAAAATCATAGTGGATTTCTGCACTAGCAGAGAGATCCGTGGTTTTTCTTCTCTCCCTCGAAAACCACAGTGGATTTCCTAAATTACTGAAGAGATCCGTGGTTTTTCTCACCTCCTTCTAGAATCATAGTGGATTTTCCACACTAGCGGAGAGATCCATGGTTTTCTTCCTCTCTCAACCTTCCTTTTCCCTTTTTTTTATTTTATTATTTTATTTTATTTTCCCTCTTTCTCATGGCACCCTCATTCCTTTTGTTATCCCGAATTGCCCAGCTCCTCTGGGATGTCCTGTAGAATTTTTTAAACGTTTCCTCCCTCTTCTCTCTTCCAAAACTTGCGATTCCCCATGACCTCTCTCACACACCTATTTACACGTATAGTATTAATTATTATTATTATTATTATTTTTATTATTAAGCTCTTATTGTAAGATCCAATCGGAATATTAACACTTTTTTCTCATGTATCACCCGCGAATCATACACACACACACACACACACACACACACACACACTCACACGCACACGCACTTTTATGTACGATTTGCGTAGAGTTAAGATCTGTAAATTTAATATTTCTTATGTATAAAATTTTTTCTTCTTGGTATGATAAAAATAAATCTAATCTTTAATTATGAATTTAGCTCTATATAATTAACTAAATAAAAAAATTCTCATTTTTATTCCTTCCCAAACCAGAAGTCGCACAAGATCCCATCCCGAGCAAAAGAGATTAAATTCTCTTGCCAAAAAGGGACCTCCGACGAACAGCCTTTTAAAATAGAGTAATAACGACCTGCTCGGTCGTTGACCTATTTGGACCTTCGCACGTTCGTTCGGGTCGAACAGACGCACCGTTCGAGGTCGTTCGATAATAACAGTAGTTACGTCCTTCCTCTGATTCTTCCTTTCTTGAGTCTGGACGTAACAATAGAGTCGTATAATGAACTAGTAAATTAATATAAAATATAAAAAATAAACAAGAATAACGTGATATGATCGCCAGTTAAATTTTTAAAAAACCAAATTAGGCAGGAATTTATTGACCAACACCGGCTAATTTTAAATTTCTTTTATTAGAAAAGAAACGACGTTTCGACCATCAATTAGGTCCTCTTCAGGCTATAAAATTACATAATACATTTCGGTAATACAATAAATAAAAATAAAATAAAAACAATAAAAATATCAGTAAATAATCGATGTATAAGAGAATTCAAAATTATAATAAAATATACATAAATACCTATTAAATTAAAATACATATTCCAATCAACGAATGATCAGGTAACTGTCAGTTGTAACACAGCAGAATGACAATCTTAAAAGTGAAAAAGAGAGAACCGATAGTTCGCACTGACATGTAAATTGACACTGTAACAACATCGACAGTATTTCGCAAATAAGTCCGATTATAAAATATAGAAATTGAAAGTCGTCTCATAAGTTTTAATACAAAACAATATATAAACATGAAAGCAATATAAACATTTTTATGGAAGGTTAAAAACAATAAATACAATAAATTTTATAAAGTATAAATAAAATAAATAAAAATCATAATAAATAAAAATAAATATAAAGCGACAAGGATCCAAATTAATAATTTAATTTAAACAATTTAACAATTTAACAATAACAATTTAAATAAAATATATTTATTTAAAGTAAATCAAGAATATCGTTGTACATGTCATTTAGGTTATCAGTGTCCTTTTGCAAATTAATAGAGTTTATCTGTTTTTTAATAAAAATCATCTCACTTATCTCTCTCTTTTTTACCTATATGTGCCTCGTTGTGTAAGATGGACACATTTGACCAGTCAAATTCATGTTTAAAAAAGGTTCTATGTTTACTGATAACCGAATGGCATGTTTCATGTTTTTTAATATCGAAGTTATGCTCTCTGATTCGAGTTTCTAAATGACGTTTGGTTTGCCCAATGTAACAAGAATCACAATCAATACAGGAGATCTTATATACAACATTAGTTCTTTTGCAAATTGGAAGTCTATTCTTTCCTTTTATAATCAATTTGTCTAATTTATTATTAACCTTGAACAAAACTTTTAACCCTCCTCTTTTTAAAATTCTTTGCACATCCTCACTCAAGCCTTTGACATAAGGAAAACAGACAATATTAGAAGTGACATATGCATTCCTACCTCCTTGTGGGTGACCATCAAATGATTTTAAATGTAATTGATGTAATCTTTTGCTAATAATTGAGTTAATTAAACCCAATGGATAACAATTATTCACGAGAATCTGTTTTACTTTTATAATCGGACTTATTTGCGAAATACTGTCGATGTTGTTACAGTGTCAATTTACATGTCAGTGCGAACTATCGGTTCTCTCTTTTTCACTTTTAAGAATGTCATTCTGCTGTGTTACAACTGACAGTTACCTGATCATTCGTTGATTGGAATATGTATTTTAATTCAATAGGTATTTATGTATATTTTATTATAATTTTGAGTTCTCTTATACATCGATTATTCACTGATTTTTTTTATTGTTTTTATTTTATTTATTGTATTACCGAAATGTATTATGTAATTTTATAGCCTGAAGAGGACCTAATTGATGGTCGAAACGTCGTTTCTTTTCTAATAAAAGAAATTTAAAATTAGCCGGTGTTGATCAATAAATTCCTGCCTAATTTGGTTTTATAAAAAATAAAATTTTAGTTAAAAAAACTTGGTGCGCTGCTAAATGATATCCTAATGATATTGAAACTAAATTATTTGTTACTTTAAAACGTATTGCAGTTAAGATATATTTTGTAGTTAAATTAATTTATGTAACTTTAAGGTGCATTGTAATTTTGAAACTTAGCAACGCGCCCAGTTTTTTTAACTAAAATTTTATTTTTTTTTAATTTTATATTAGTTTACTATTCATCTATGGTCAGTTTGGTCAATTACTTAACAACCTTGTTTTTAATTGAGACTGACAATATACAATTTATCTTGTTTTTTATCAAACTAACATCAGAAGTTTCAGAGTACGATATTTCTTTTCCTGTACAATTAAGAGTTATAGGTGTATAATTTTATAATAGTAGATAACATTGTGTGTGTGTGTTTCCTCGCAAAGTTATCCACTCGTCATTCTTGGTAGTTTCATTTCCGCTCTCGTACAAACACGTATTAACTTATACAATATACTCTTCTTTCAAGAAAGTAACGTCAAAGCCGAATATAGTGATACATTATATATATTGTACTAAATCTAGTGTAATAATTAAAAATTAACCGCGTAATCTTCTACATTAACATTTTTAGAATAAAATCAGATCAATATTTCTACATTTTGTAGAGAAAGATAAAAAAAGATTATTTAATTTCATTATATGTGTATATTACGCATTTGATACATATTTTTCATTTGATTGGTACAAAAGCTAAAGTAGACACAAAATAAATATGGATGTTTTTAATTATTAAAAATTACACTTTATATGAAAAATAATGTACTAACAGGAGTTTGATTGATTTCACTATACAATTCTTCCAGTGTATCCTTTTGTGAAGTAATGTTTGTAAAAAATTTCGCGTTTCTGTGTTGCGGGTTTTTACTCCTCATCATTTCGTTATCGAAACTTCAGCAAAATTTCACCAACAACAAAGACGAAGATTCTAATTTGACAGTACAAGACGAGATATATGTGGATTCTACAATAATTTATAACAACGAGATAAAATCCCAGCGATATGATTTGTATGAAAGGTTTACCGACAACACGCAATATAACGAAATGGAATATGAATTTAGCGCTATTTCCACGAATATCGATCGAGAGGATGTTGATTTGATATTACATAATCTAAAAAGGCGTTCTGCTCAAAATCATGAGGATGATGACAAAATACTGACATCCTCTCACATCAATTCGACAAATGTCAATCATAAAAAAAACTCTACATCACAGAAGGTTTATGAAAACTTGCTTGAAAAGAATTACTCCATGTCGAATAAAGTCTTTGAAAATTCCACTAAGCATGGTAATAAAAGTAACATTGTCCCATACGAAACTTGCTATAATACTACTTGCATTCTGTTCTGCTGTCCCTTTGGCTATAGGATGAGGGTGAATGACAGCCAGTGCATTCCAGAGAAAATGAAATATGTTTTTCCGAATGTGTACGAATACACGAACGATTTAATGCAGAACGAAAGTAAGCGAGTGGACGAATTCTTTCAGTTAGCCGTCTACAATCCGTGCTTGAAAGCGCAACGTTTCACGGTAGGCGACGGTTATCAGTACGAATATAAAATTTTTGCCAATGGTTCTATTTATTTGCCTCATTATAAAACATTATTTAAATCGACATATTCGACATCATATTGCCTCGCCGTCTTCGTGGAAAGAGGGAGTAGGTTTGAAGTGACTTACTGTTTAGAAATAAATGATGAAGTCTACAGGAACTCATTGAAACACAAATTATCTGAGTTCAGTTGGATAACTCATATAATATATATATATTCCAGCTTGATATTAGCGTCTATATTCTTTTTGGTGGCAGTATTTTTTGTGTATTCCATATTGCCAGAACTCCGAAATGAACACGGCTTCATGTTGCGCAATTACACTGCAATTGCAGCCATCGGATTCATGATTGATATTGTGAGACTTTTACATGTCAACGAGCATGTGTTATATCCCGTCTGTATTACAATTGGTACAGTATATCTAACAATAAATTACATAAATATATAAAATCAATGCAGAACATATTTGTCAAGCATAACGTATATCCGCATATTAGTATATCTTCTTCATTATTTGAGTATATATAATACTTGTTAAATGCAACTGTCAATAATGAATTAAACTAAAATTTAATGTATTTTAATTATAATTTCTGAGTTTGTTCAAAAAAAAAATATATATATATAATTTTGCGTTTTAAAATGTTGCAGTGTTATATCTTGAAATAGTATTTAATTTAATATTGGTAGTATCAATATTCATAATAATGAATAAATATTGTTATAAACTTTTGGTGTAAAATGTACAAAATCCGTTTTAGTGTGAACAATCAAAAACGTGAAACTTTCGATTTTTTCCATTTTAACGCACACGCTTAGTGATGAAAATAATATTTATCATCATAGCCTTTATTTATCTTCATTTTTCAGCCTTTTTGGATATTTTTGTTTTATGTCGGGTTACTTCTGGCTCAGTACCATGAGCTTTAATATGTGGCGGACGTTCAGGTAAATAGCCAAGTATTTTATTTGTACTTTAGTTCTTGACTTCTCATTTTAATTTGTCTTTACATAATTGCTTTATAGTATTAAATAAACAAATACTTTTGTCAAGATAACGTAATTTTTTTTGAAATTAGAAAAATGGCATATATTAGATAATAAACATTATATACTTAATTTATAAAATATTTATAAAATATTACAACGTAATTTAATTCGCATTAATGGAACTATTCTGGAATGTTTTTTTTTTTTTCAATTTACAAGTTTGATATTTATATCGCGTTGATCTTTTTTATGTATAAAATAAAGTAGTACACAATCATTTTTTAACACAAATATATTTTTTGGTTCTAAAAACTAAATCAAAATATAAGTTATCTTTGTCTCTAGAATATCTATGTAAATATATAATTGTTTCTAAATGTTATACAACGTTATATTTTTATCGTAACTGATTGTGAGTGCGACGTGTCGTATTATATAATATACTTTTATTTTTATCTACACTTATATAATTAAATATAATATATACATAAATTGCAGAGATTTCTCTTCGTTACAAAGAAACGTCAGACAATCAGGAAAAAAAAAGTTGGTGCATTATGCTATTTTTGCGTACGGATGTCCATTTGTACTTGCTATTGTTTGTGTTATCGTAGTGGATTTTGTTTCCGATTTAATGCCAAAAATTTTGAGACCAGAATTCGAAATGGGATTTTGTTGGTACTTTACGAAACGTACGTCTCGAATAACTTTATTAAATGCTACGCATTTTAAAAGTATGTAACAGCATATGAGATATCATATTTGCAGATTTGGAAGCGTTTATATTGTATTTTCATTGGATCACAACTGTCTGTATTATTAGTAGCATTTGCTTATCTATTTCTGCGGCAAGGAACATCAAACGTTACGAAAAGGATGCAAACTTCAGGCTACTAGATTCGGAAAGTAAGCAGTATAATGACAATAAGAAATGGTATGTATACTCACATTTTTGCATCAGTCTATGATAATATTGTGTTAATGAGATTTATGCAGATATATTTTTGCCAATACTTCTGCCGACAACATCACACTTGCTTAATTCGCATTTCTGGTAAAAGATAATTAATTGTAAAGAGATAATTAATTGTAAAAGATACACATATATTTTACTATGCTCATTTTTTTTCCTTCTATTGTGTAATAACATAATCTATAAAAGAAGAAAAACATTTATTTCTGTAACTTGCATCGGGTCTTTTCGAAAAAGTCTGTAATTCTCGAAATGTCATAAAGAGTGACTATAAAAACGAATATATATTTATTACATAAAAATTACAGTTTTGAAGCATTTCTTTAAATAACTTTTTCTCATTTCCCTTTTTTAAGAATTGTAATTTGTTCCATCATTTTTTAATTTAATAATTTGATATAGATAGAATTTGTTTTTTTTATTGAAAGATGACTAAATATTAATATATATTTGTTTGCAGGTTGAATCTATATATAAAGTTATTTAATCTGATCTTTATCATTATGGGTATAAATTGGTTTCTGCATTCAATTTTCTGGATCTATACAATAGAATTACATGATTATAGTTATTACATTAATTGTGTTTATTGTTTGTTAAATGTAGTGCAGAATTTCTTCATTTTTATCATATTTGTATGGAAAAAAAAAGTTAAGTTGATGTTACGGAAACGATTCGGATCCGAAACGAATACATCGACTTGAATACCACATTTAAGAAATCTATGAAGGAAAAGTCGAACTCTTGCGGAGAAGAAAACTGTGTAATGATTTAAATTTTGTAAACATTTATTTTCAAGAAATATTATTTTATTATAGCTATACAATATATTGTGCTATATTATTATAAAAAAGGTAACTAATTCCAATAAAAATATTATATATTTATAAATGTATGTATGTATATAAAGGGAAATTAAAATTTGTTTCAACTAATGACATGGTCCATACAAATAAATTACGACTATTTTTTAACCCGACTGTGTTAAACTTATTTATTATTTAAAAATAGTATTTTTTAAATAGGGGTTCAGTGTAAATAAACTACTAAATGATATTATACATATATGTACACACACATTGAGAATGCTAAAATTATTTTATTCTAATATTATGCACATGAGAGTAAATTCTCGAATTCGTATATAAATAATATTTCTGCATTATAAAAAGCAGAATATCTGAAATAGTGATTATATATAAAAAGATATTTAAAGAACAATTATAAATTTATGTCATAAGTTCAAAAGATGTAATATGACTTGCACATAAACTAATAAGTTACGGAGAAAAGTGTTGTTTTACATTTTTACAATAATTTAAATTTAACATGTACGATTATTATTGCCCATTACATGCAGCGAAGACTACAAAAACATTTTTAATTTTCGACAAATTTAAACTTCAAGAAAATATAAATATGTTGGCTGAAATAGCGATGGCGTTGCATCGATTATTGCAAAACTTAATTATTTTGCTATACAATTGAATAATTGTGCGCGAGACACAAATTTGCTTGGTACACTGTCAATACTTTTTAGGAATTATATCTCAATTGATAATTCACGCACAATTATTTAATTGTACAGCTAAATTGGTTTTTGCAATATCCAAAAATCGCGTTCAGCTTTGTTAGCCTACATATTTATATTTAATAAATAACGAGAGCCGAATATAATTCTTAATTGTTATTAAATTTCAAGTATTACAGGAAAACTACCAGAAATGTTCTTAATTTATTTATTTTTTTTTTTTTTTTTTAGTTTTTCTACGTAATTATCATTTACAATGGAAACACTAGACATTGTTCCTTCCGATTTGGTTGAATATGAAATATGTTGTAGTCCTATTTTCACACTAATCTATGATATAAAACGACCCAACTGTCAAGCAATCTTGAAAACATAAAATGTAACCCCACTAATCTTACATAAAAATGGACTTTAAAAACCTTTTTTTTTAGAAAAAAGTAAAAAAGGGCGCCAAGTTCAACTGTATGTAAAAAAGTGTAGTAAAAAACAGTATGTTTTTCAAAGTACTGTAAACCTATGTTGTAAAATTTAAATTTGTAAAAAAATAATAATATCACAAAGTTACGCCACACAAAAATATATACCAAAAATTAAAAATAAAAAATTAACACAAAATAAAAAAATAAAAATTATGTTAAAAAAACTTAGCGCTACTTTTCCGAATTGCTGCAATGTATCTTATCTGTAATATATCTTAGAGTAACAAATAATTAATTTACTGCAATAAAATTATAATATATAATAAATTTTTTTTCAATTGCTTGCATTTATAAGCGTAATTTTATACTAGCTTATTTATATACGATGATTCGACGATAACAGAACTCGGTGAACGTGTTTCGAAGCAGAATGTGTATGTAATCTACATTTATCATTAAATATGCGAAGTATATTTTTCAACGTAACATTTTCAGCAATTATGAAGCGTAATAATTATAGATCGCACACACAATTATCGGAAAGCGTTTGCAAACAAAAAGAATTCTAAACAAATTGCGCAACGATCTCATAAGATGGTCGTAACCTCATTATATCATTGTCAAAATCTCATTAGATTGTTACAATATTAGATAATAGCTTAATAATTGCAACACTTATCATCGAAATTTCAAATTAAAAGAACAAACACAAAACAATGTGCAAGCATATTAATCATTCTATATTCTTATTCTGTGTTTATCAATTTTTAATTGTCATTATTTATATTTTAATATATTTTTGTAATAAAACTACATTCAAAATTATGTCTAACATATGCGCACAACGTGATTCGAGATAGCCAATCACACGGATAAGCAACAACAATGTCAATAACGTGCTCTTTTTAGAAGGGCGGATACATTGCTGAATTGATCAAACTAACGTGAGAAGTTTCAACATACGTTCTTTGTTTTCCATGTACAATTATAAGTTAGAGGTGCATAATTTTATAATAATAGACTCACTGTGTGTGTGTGTTTCCTCGCAAAGTTATCTACAACTCGTGATCCTCAGCAGTTTCATTTCCTCTCTCGTTCAGAGACGTATTAACTTATGCAATATTTTCTTCTTTCAAGAAAGAAACGTTAAAGCCGAGTATAGTGATACATAATATATATTTTACTAAATCTAGTGTGATAATTAAACATTAACCGCGTAATTGTCTACATTAACATTTTTAAAACAAAATCAGACTATTATTTCTAAATTTTGTAAAGAAAGACAAAAAGAAAATGATAATTTAATTTCACTATATGTGTATATAACACACACATACCTTTCATTCAATTAATACAAGAGCTAAAATATGCACAAAATAAATATAGATTATTTTATAATTAAAAATTAAAACTTGAAGATTAAAACTCATTATGAGACATTAATGAATGTTCTAACAGGTTAGCTTGATTTTACTATCTAATTCCTCTAGTGTATTCTTCTGTGAAATAATGTTTGTAAAAATTTCGCTTTTCTGTGTTGCGGGTTTTTACTCCTCATCATTTCGTTATTGAAACTTCAGCAAAATTACACCAACAACGAAGACGAAGATCCTAATTTGACAGTACAAGACGAGATATATGTGGATACAATAATTTATAACAACGAGATAAAATCACAGCAATATGATTTGTATAAAAGGTTTACCGACAACACGCAATATAACAAAATGGAATATGAATTTAGCACTATTTCCACGAATATTGATCGAGATAATGTTGATTTGATATTACATAATCTAAAAAGGCGTTCTGCTCAAAATCATGAAGATGATGACAAAATACTAACATCCTCTCACATCAATTCGACAAATGTCAATCATAAAAAAAACTCTACGTCACAGAAGGTTTATGAAAACTTGCTTGAAAAGAATTACTCCATGTCGAATAAAGTCTTTGAAAATTCCACTAAGCATGGTAATGAAAGTAACATTGTCCCATACGAAACTTGCTATAATACTACTTGCATTCTGTTCTGCTGTCCCTTTGGCTATAGCATGAGGGCGAATGACAGCCAGTGCATTCCAGAGAAAATGAAATATGTTTTTCCGAATGTGTACGAATACACGAACGATTTAATGCAAAACGAAAGTAAACGAGTAGACGAATTCTTTCAATTAGCCGTCTACGATCCGTGCTTAAAAGCGAGACGTTCCACGGTACACGACGGTCATCAGTACGAATATAAGATTTTTGCCAATGGTTCTATTTATTTACCTTATTATAAAATATTGTTTAAATCGACATATTCGACATCATATTGCCTCGCCGTCTTGTTGGAAAGAGAGAGTAGGTTTGAAGTGACTTACTGTTCAGAAATATCTGATGAAGTTTTCAGGAATGCTTTGAAGCAGAAACTACCTGAGTTCAGTTGGATAACTCAATTAATAAATATATATTCAAGCTTAATATTAGTAGGTGTATTATTTTTGTTGGCAATATTTCTAGTGTATTACATATTGCCAGAACTTCAAAATGAACACGGCTTCATGTTGCGCAATTACACTGCAGTTGCAGCTATTGGATTCATGATTGAAGTTGTAAGACTTTCACATATCAAAGAGAATCTGTCATATCCCGCCTGTATTACAATTGGTACAGTATAGCTAACAATAAATTACAAAAATATATAAAATCAATGCAGAACATATTTGTCAAACATAAAGTATATCCGCATATTAGTATATCTTCTTCATTATTTGAGTATATATAATACTTGTTAAATGCAACTGTCAATAATGAATTAAACTAAAATTTAATGTATTTTAGTTATAATTTCTGAGTTCGTTCAAAAAAAATATATATATATATAATTTTGCGTTTTAAAATGTTGCAGTGTTATATCTTGACATAGTATTTAATTTAATATTGGTAGTATCAATATTCATAATAATGAATAAATATTGTTATAAACTTTTGGTGTAAAATGTACAAAATCCGTTTTAGTGTGAACGATCAAAAACGCGAAACTTTCGATTTTTCCATTTTAACGCACACGCTTAGTGATAAAAATAATATTTATCATCATAGCCTTTATTTATATTCATTTTTCAGCCTTTTTGGATATTTTTGTTTTATGTCGGGTTACTTCTGGCTCAGTACCATGAGCTTTAATATGTGGCGGACATTCAGGTAAATAGCCAAGTATTTTATAGTGTACCTTAGTTCTTGGCTTCTGATTTTAATTTGTCTTTTCATAATTGCTTTATAGTATTAAATAAACCAAAACATTGTCAAGATAACGTAAATTTTTTGAAATTAGAAATGGCGTATATTAGATAATAACTATTACATATTTAATTTATAAATTATTTAGTACAACGTAATATTATAATCTGTTTCTATGAATAATATAAAGCAATACACGATAATGTTTTTTAACATAAATACGTTTTTTCCCCTGAAAATTAAAGAAAAATTTTAATTATCTTTGTCTGTAGAATATCTATGAAATATATAATAGTTTCTAAATGTTATACAATGTTATATTTTTCATCGTAATTGAATGTCACGTGTCGTATTATATATAAATGTACTTTTATAATTGCGTAGAATGGGTTTTCGAAAAAGCTTCGGTCAAAGACAAACATTAACATTTTATGTTAAGATTTCCTTTTTATCTACACTTATATAATTAAATATAATATATACATAAATTGCAGAGGATTCTCTTCGTTACAAAGAAACGTCAGACAATCAGGAAAAAAAAGTTGGTGTATTGTGCTATTTTTGCGTACGGATGTCCATTTGTACTTGCTATTATTTGTGTCATTATTGTGGATTTTATTTCCGAGTATGTACCAAAAATTTTGAGACCAGAATTCGGAATGGGATTTTGCTGGTACTCTACGAGTCGTACGTCTCAGATAACTTTATTAAACGCTACGCTGTTTAAAAGTATGTAACAGCATGTGAGATATCATACTTACAGGTTTGGAAGCGTATATACTGTATTTTCACTCGGTCACAAGTGTCTGTATTATTAGTAGCATTTGTTTATCCATTTCTGCTGCAAAGGACATCAAACATTTCGAAAGGGATACAAACTTCAGTCTAACAGATTCGGAAAGTAAGCAGTATAATGACAATAAGAAATGGTACGTACTCTCACATTTTTCATCACTCTGTGATAATTTTTTATTATGTTAATGAGATTTGTGCAGATATATTTTTTTCAATATCTCTGCCGACAACATCACATACTCGCTTGATTCGCATTTCTAGTTAAAGGGAGAGATAATTAATTGCAAAAGATATATATATATATATATTACTGTATTCATTCTTTTTTTTCTTTTTTTTCCTTCTATTGTGTAATAACATAATCTGTAAGAGAAGAAAAACATTTATTTCTGTAACTTCCATTTGGTCTTTTTGAAAAAGTATGTAATTTTTTAAATGTCGCAAGGAGTGAGTATAAACGAATATACAATATATTTATTACATCAAAATTACATTTTTGAAGCATTTCTTTAAATAATTTTTCTCATTTCCCCCTTTTTAAGAATTTTAATTTGTTCCATCATTTTTCAATTTAATAATTAGATAGATAGAATTTGTTCTTTTAATTGAAACATGACTAAATGTTAATATATATTTGTTTGCAGGTTTAATTTGTATATGAAGTTATTTATCGTGATTTTTATCATTATGGGTATAAATTGGTTTCTATATACAATTTCATGGTTCCTTATGACAAATTTTTATAATTATAGCAACACCATTAATTGTCTTTATTGTTTGTTAAATGCAGTACAGAATTTCTTTATCTTTATCATATTTGTATGGAAAAAGAAAATCAAGTTGATGTTACTGAAACGATTCGGATTCAATTCGAATGCATCGACTTGAATATCACATTTGAGGTATCTATGTAGAAAAAGTTGAACTCTTGCGGAAAAGAAAACTGTCACAAAAGTTTTATCGCAGATCAAAAATCAACGAGTGTTTGCAATTTAATAGAATCTTATTACTAAAATTGAAAGTTTTACAATGTTATATTTTACGTAATGTTCAGATTTCTTCTCAAAGAATTTAATTTAAAATTTTACATGTAATATTTGTATTATCGGTGCATATAATTGAGTCAAATTGATTTAAATGTAAACATTTTTCTTCAAAAAATAATCTTGTATAATAGCTATACAATATATTGTGCTATATTATTATAAAAAAGATTTCTGATTCAAATAAAAACATATTATATATTTATAAATATATGTATGTATAATATATAAAGGCAAATTAAAATTTGTTTTAAATTGGTGACATATTCTATACAAATAACTTGCGAATAATTTTACACGCGACTGTGTTAAATGTATTTATTGTTTAAAAATGGTATTTTTTTCTAATAGGGGATTTAGTGTAAATGAACTACGTCAAAAGCGCGTTCGTACATATTATACATATATGTACACATTGAGAATGCTAAGATTATTTTATTTTAATATTATGCACATAAGAGTAAATTCTCGAATTTGTATATAAATAATATTTCTGCATGATAAAATGCAGAATATCTGAAATAGTGATTATGTATGGTATAAAAATATATTAGATATTTAAAGAACAATTATAAATTTATGTCATAAGTTTAAAAGATGTAATATGACTTGCACATAAAATAATAAGTTACGGAGAAAAGTGTTGTTTTATATTTTTACAATAATTTAAATCTAACATGTACAATTATTATTGCCAATTACATGCAGTGAAGACTATAAGAACATTTTTAATTTTCGAGAAATTTAAACTTCAAGAAAATATAAATATAATGACTGAAAGAGCCGTTGTGTCGATTATTACAAAAATTAATTTTTTCGCTACAATTGAATAATTATGCGCAAAACACGAATTTGCTTGGTACACTGTCAAAACTTCTTAGGAATTGTATCTCAATTGATGATTCACGCACAATTATTTAATTGTACCGCTAAATTGGATTTCGCAATATCCAAAAATCGCGTTCGGCTTTGTTAGCTTACATATTTATATTTGATAAATAACGAGAGCCGAATATAATTCTTAATTATTGTTAAATTTTAAGCATTACAGGCAAACTACCAGAAATGTTCTTAATTATTTTTTTTTTAGTTTTTCTATGTAATTATCATTTATAATGAGAACACTAGACATTGTTCTCTCCAAATTGGCTGAATCTGAAATATGTTGTACCTAGTCCTATCTTCACACCAATCCATAGTAGGTAAAAAAAAAACGACGCAAGTTTAACTGTATGTAAAAGTGTGTAGTAGAAAAAACAGTATGTTTCAAAGTAGTGTAAACTTATGTTGTAAAATTAAAATTTCTAAAAAAATAATTATATCAAAAAGTTACGCCAAACAAAATTGCTTGCATCAATAAGCGTGATTTTATACTAACTTATTTATATACGATGATTCGACGATAACAGAACGCGGTGAACGTGTTTTATTTTTTGAAGTAGAATGTGTATATATTTCTATGAGAAAAAAATCTACATCTATTATTAAATACGCGAAGTATATTTTTCAACGTAACATTGTAAGCAATTATAAAGCGTAATGATTATAGCACACACAATTATCGGAAAACGTTTGCAAACGAAAAAAATTCTCTCTTGGTGTTACATCGTATAGAGAGTCATTACCAGGTAGTAATAATGACTCTCTATACTTGTATTAAAGCAACACGCTCTGTTATGCATCTCTGCCGAATAGATTATTCTGGATAAAGGTCAACGATGCTCCAAAACTCGTGTATGAAAGAGTATCAAGATTATGAGGAAAGAAAATTTAAATAATGTTTACGTCAACAATAAATATAATAATTAATAAATAAATATTATTTGTATTGTACTCGTTGTTTACTGGGAAGTTATTGATAAATAAATATAAGTAAAGTACATAAAGTAAAAATATCATATTATTAACTTGAAAAATTTAAATTAATTTAACACGATTCATTATAATACATGTTACACGCACACAGTTTGTAAATCTCTTGTTATATACATTTAAAGTTCTGTAACTTTATCTTCGATACATCTTTTCATTTTAAAATTTGAATCCAACGTAATGTAATATAGTGTAAAAACAAAGTTGTCGAGAAAAACAGTTACTATATTATAATTAATTTATTTACAATAATAACATCTATGTAAATATTAGTTAAAATATTAAATATCATATATTTAATCAGTCAAAAATACGTTTTATTGCAAAATAAATAATAAAAATCTAATGAAAACTATATAATAATAATAAGTTGTCTATGTTTAATGTTGCGTTTTACAAATATATATTTGTTTGAAGGCGTTTTTGAATTTATTTTGCGGCTTTATGTGACGCACACATTTGTTAAGTTTTATATCGCTATCTTCTTTAGACTTTTTCTCATACTCTTCTTCGATGTAGAATGTAGATACAAATAATACATACACACACGTCGAAAAATAAATTAAGGACTTCCCAAGGATATACACGTATCTCGAATTTAACGCGTCTAAAGTCGTTTCAGACGTATGTTAAACGGACAACAGTGAACAGTGAAAGCCGACACTCGCCGTTGATTTATTAAATATCACAAGGTAATTTTTAGAATTTAAACTATTTTTTCTTATCCTCTTTGTCATCGAATTACGGACTACATAGCTATATTATAAATAATCAGTATTATATCAACATATAAACGTCGAGAAAAATTTTTAAAAATGATTTACAACTTTGTTACCGTCATTACTTTATTATATAACATTATACATTTTTTTCTTGTATTATGATGCAAAAAATGCATTTTTACGTCGTAAACTGACTCTCTTTTGTAAAGATTATTCTTTTTCTCTTGTTTATAAAACAAAATATATGAACTCTACTTTATACAAAATTTCGTTGTAATATATATTTTATAAAAATTATTCTATATTTCTTCAAAATTTATATAAAATATATATAATTTTATATAATAATTTTGTAAAAAATTATTACATAATTATTATATAATTATTATATAATTTATATGTAATTTATATTAAAAAAATTTATATATAAATTTATATTATTTTATTTATATTATTTATATAAAATTTAATATATTAAATTTATATATAATTTCTATAAATCCATATAAAATTTTATAAATATGTATTATGGAAATTGTAATTTCTTTTTATGAAATTTTGTCATAATATTTCGTGGAATTTATTCTATCTTTCTTATCTAAAGGAAATACAAAAAAGATGAACGAAATCATGTTGCCACCCTCGCCAAACTGGTATCTGAGCAATATTCTCGCATGCTCGAAACGAGGAACTTTGGCATGGGGCACCAGGAATTCTATCGTTTTTCCCAGACAAAACGAAGATCAAAGTGGTTTATACTATTCAGTAATTAACAATGCTTTTAAGGATAGAGTGACATCATTAGCATTCTGTCCTAGGCACGACAATCCAGAATTACTAATTTCTGGTGGTGATGAGGATAGCGTCAAAATTTGGGACGTGGATGCGTTAGAATTGGTCTTCATGAACTCCTTTAAAGTTGTAAGCAAGACGTTGCAAAATAAAGCTAAAATTTTGTATATTTATCTTATTTAACATTATAAAAGTATTAATTCTCTTATTTAAAAAATAATAATTTCTTAATTATTAATGTAACTGTTTTTTTCATATAGGGTAAATCAATTATAGGAGTTGATTGGTCAATCAAAAATACCAATCTTGCATATGCAATAAATTCAGAGAGCTGTCTAATGTATTATTACGTATCATATCAGATGTCGAAGATAATATGTCTAGGCCAGTTAACTCCTACATGTTTGGCTTCGTGTCCTCACGACTCGAGTCTTATAGCGATAGGTACCAAAAGTGGATTAATTTATATTGTTGAAAATGAAACAATATTATATAAATTGAAGGGTCACAAGAAGGAAATAGTCAGTTTGTCATGGTGTTCTTCGGATATGAATGTCTTAAATGGAAATAATAAAAGAGATTTACTTTTAGCTTCTGGCGCAAAAGAACAGTAAGATAAATTTTTCATAATATTTTTATGTTATCTCGTATATTGAATTAATTAAATATGTGAAATATATGTGAATATTATATCAAAAAATAGACAGATATAAGTAACATCTAAAATATATTATTAGCTCTATCTTCATAACATTTTCTTTTAAATATTGAAATCAGGGAACAATTAATAGTAGACATTCTTTTTACTAGATCTGTGTTTATTTGGAGAGCTGGTGGAGATGGTAAATGCGAGGCTGTGATAGAAATATCGAATTTGCCACACGGACATGATTATATGCCTAATAAACGCAAACCCGTTATGATTTAGATTGCAGTGTGTTGGGTGGAGCCTGAAGTGCTTTTAACTTCCTCTGCTTGGAGTGAACTTCTATCCTGAGATCTATCCACGAACAAAAATGAATTGACGTGTAAGTTGTTACATGCATGTCACAACAGACAATTGTTTTTCATAGCCGCTCTATCCAAAAATGATACAATATCCAACAATGGGAAATCAGAGTCCGAGTGAGTAAAGATTTTTAATAGTGTTTAAACGTGGGATATGGAATGTAAACAGGGTTGGGTAATAACTAGTTAATTGGTTAAAAGTTTTTAAAAAAGTTAAAAATTTAAACCTTTACTTTAGCTTAAATTTAAAATGTATTAATTTTTAACTTCGACTAATTATTTTTTACCTTAAACTCATTAACTTTTTATCTGAGAAAAATTTTTTTATCTCTGAATACTATTATTGTTCATCAATGCATTATTATTGTTTTTTTATAAGTTATATAAATGCATTATTTTTAAATTAAGATATTATTATTTTTATGGTCATTTGTCATAAATTATCGTTATCAAAAAATATATTTTTAATATGTAAAAATTAAAATTACTTTGTTTATTTTTATTATAAATTTTAAAAGAATTAGCAAACAAAATTCTAATTTAACATAAATAATGTTTTTAAAAATTAACTTTGATTTAACTTTAGTTAATTCGATCTTAACTTAATTTTAACTAATATAATTTTTTGTTTATGCAACTTTTAACTTAACTAAATTAATTTAACGTATAAGACGGGCAACAAGAGCCAAATCGCGGATGACAATGCGTTATCCTAACGAAACTAAATAATTTTTCGTTAGAAATAAATACCG